GCGGCGAGCGACTAAGAACGGGCCTGGGACTGAAGACAATGTTCTAACAGAGGACAGGCCGATGAAGGAGAAGGGAAAGCGAAGGTGGGTTGTGCAGTAGCTTACCTTGTGGAATATAACATCGATGATCTGACATAAAACCCCCACTAAACTCCCAGTACAACGTGTCTGTTTCAGAAACGTCAGTGCTCCTGGGCTTGCCAGCTCCCCCTCCCACTGCTCCGGGCTTTGCTCACCGGGAACTGGTTTGGGTGAATCCAGACACGGACTTTTCCAGGCAGGCCCCCACACCCTCTGCTAGCCTGAGGATACATCTCTGATGAGTGTCCTCTGCCGCACACTGTCACGTTGGATGCAATCTCTGTGTGGCTCTTTATCGTGGTTCCAGAGAACAAAGCACAGTGTACAGCAGGTGGCGAGAGGCTAAAACGGAAAACGGCCCCAGGCATCTATTAGGTTTCCCCAGGCCCTAGCAGCCAAGTAGTTGTAAGAGACCTGCGGAAGAGTGCGGGCCCCACTCGGAAGGAGGTGACGCTGGGCAGGCCGAGCAGCACACAAGCTCAGCACACAAGCCTGAAAGCACCCGTCATCAGAGATGACTTACGGAGGCGGTGACTTCTGTGCTGGGCCCAGGTCACAGAAGTATTGGACAGTTAGTGATTGGTGGGAAACAGCATGAAGACGATGGTGTGGTGGGAAAACATGCAGTATAGTTCACAGATAAGGTCTGTTTTGGGGAGATGGTGAAACTGGAGTATCATTTTGAAGACCCTTGAATGCTAAGGACATTAGTCATATTTCATGTATTGGACTTGGTACTGGAAGGAAGGAACAGAGGACACGGCAGGTAGAGGTAACAGCGCTGGAAGAGTTGACCCTGTCCTTGAGCTGCTAACAGCCTGATTGCAGTCAGGAACCTGGATCTCCCCACTCCACTCACCCCTGGTCTCTGAGGGAGGAGCCCAATGTCATTCTGAACCCTTCAAACATTCTCGATTTGGGAAGTCTGTAGTGACTATTTCAGGCGTAACACAAAGCATGTCAACTTTTCCAGAAGATATTTGCTTTGTCAACAGATTTTGCCACGGAAATTCAATACCTTACCTTTTAGAGGTAGAGAATGAGGGTGGTGCTGTGTAAATCATGTGGTTTTGATGGTGGGTCAGGATAAGAACGCAATGATTCCATCTTCGTATATGTGCTGCCGAACAAAGCGAGCACAAGAACGCAATGTTTCAAGGAGTTCGTTCTTCACAGGTGACTCAGATAAGTGTCTCTGTTGAACTGGATTGCAAGCAGAATGCAGCCAGATTCCCCAGTCATGTCTTCACTTATCCATTCATCCAGTCATATTGGTGGGCTTCCACGATGGCCCAGGCAGGCAAGGACCCCCATCTTCGGACATTCTCATCTTCGTGAGTCTGCTCTAGCCGGATTCTATTCCCCGTTGCTCTGGGGTCTATGGTGACCCTGCAGGATGGACCAGAACTGCCCCCACACTGTTTCCAAAGCTAGAATCTTTTCAGCAATGGACTGCCATCTGTTTCTCCCACGGAGTAGCTGATGTTTTCAAACCTCGGACCTTCTTAAACTTAGCAGCCGAGTGCCTAACCATTACAGAACCAGGTCTCCTTTGAAGAGAAAGATAAAAACACTCATCGTGCTTGTCTCAGCTACATGAAACCTATAGCCATCAAGCCTGTTCTGACTCATAGCCACCTATAGGACAAAGTAGGGTTGCCTCATACGGTTTCCCAGGCTGTAACGCTGCTGCTGCTGCTGCTTCTTCTTCTTCTTCTTCTTCTTCTTCTTCTTCTTCTTCTTCTTCTTCTTCTTCTAACAGTTCTATTGGCATATAATTCATCTATCTACAATTCAACAGTTCTGTCACACCAAAAAGAGTTGTACAATTTTCACCCGTTTTAGAACCTTTTCTTTGTTCTTGTGCTCATCATTATTAGTTCCCCATTTCCCTGCAACTTCTCCTGCTTTGCCCCTCCAGTTCCGGTCTCTATCGATTTACCGCTCCTTGATTTCATATACAGAAAAAAAGATATCTTTAATCTAACAATAATCACAAAGTAACACAGTTAAAAATCCTCAATCAAAAAAGAAAGCAGGATATATTCAAAACTAGAACCAATTTTAAATGTATCACAAGGAAGATCAAATGATAAGGTGTTAAGGTTTAACCTACGAGTGTCTCGGACTGTAAACTTTATGGAAGTAGACTGCCGCATCTTTCTTCCATTAGTGGATTTGAACCACTAACATTTCAGCCGGCAAACCAAATGCTTAACCACTGGGCCACCAGAGTTCCTTTCTAGCCAAATACTCCATTACAAACAGAATTTCCACAGCACAAGCAACGTCTTCGTCTATGACCTTTGTAATCTGTTACTGATTCAACAAAATATATTGAGTACCCACCATGGACCAAATACTATTCTAGGCCCTGGTGGTAAAACAAGGAACCAAACAGAGAAAAGTCCTTGACCTCATGGAGCTCAGAGTTTGGAAGCAGATCACAGTCAGGCAATAACCAAAGTAAATAAATCATATTGTATGGTAGAACGTGATAACTGCTATGGCAAAAAATAGAGCACGGAAAGAAGATGGGGAACCCTGGGGATGAGAGCTGAATTTCTAACTAAGGTTTTCCAGGGAGGTCTTGCTGTGAATGAAGTACTAGGCCAGTGGCGCAGAGAAGAATGCTCTTCAAGCAGAGAGACCATCCAGTGCACAGCCCTGGGATGGGAGCATGCCAGGGCTGCTTGAGAAACATCTAGAAGGCTTTTGTGTCTGGCGGGGGCTGAGTGGGACTGGGACAGAGCACTTGTGGAGGGCCTTCAAAACCATACTAAAGACCTGGAACCTTACTGTAAATGAGATAGGAAGTCCTCGGAGCATTTGAAGGAGATCGTTGAAAGGATCTGAATCATGTTTTCACAGGATCACGTTGGCTGCTGTGGTGAGATTAAGAGGGAATAGAGGAAGTGAGGAGACCAGATAAGAGAGTGTAGCAGGAGAGAATGCGGGTATTTGGACCAGGTGGCATAGTGCTTATGGGTTGGCCTGCTAACCCCCCAGGTCAGCAATTCAAAGCCACCAGCTGCTCTGTGGGAGGAAGATGAGGCTTTTTACTCCCCTAAAGAGTGACAGTCGCAGAACCCCCCGGGAGCAATTCTACCCTGTCCTATGGGGCTGCTAGGAATCAGAATCGACTCAGGGGCAATGAGTTTGTTTGTTGATGGATAGTTGTGACATTTGTTGCCTTCCCCGAATGGTAATATTTACCCGTGTGTATGCCATGGTTATCATTTGCATAGAGAGGAAAACAAACCTTAGGTGTTCTTATGCTTCCCCTGAGGTCAATATGGGGTCATTGTGCTTAATAAATAGGAATCGTGAGTGGTGTGTATGATTAAAAAGGAAAAAGAAAAAAGATTTATTGAGCTATCATTTACATGCCATGCAATCCCCCCATTTCAAGCATAGAGAACAATTATTTTTTAGCTCATTTATAGTTACGCAGCCATTGCCACAATCCAGTTTTGGAATCACTTCATCATGACAAAGGAAATCTGTGATGCCCACATGGTACTCACGTCTTGTTCTCACACGCAGTCTCAAACAACCACTCATTTACAGTCTGTTTGTATAGATTTGTCTATTCTCGACGTAGCATATCAATGAGATAATAAAATAGTGTTCGCACCTCAATTCTTATGTAAATGGAGGGAAAAATTAAATTCACATATCTTCTAGCAGAATCACAGTAATTTATTCCTTTCTATGGCTGAGCAGTAATTCTATCATATGGATATACTGTAAAACTTGGGGAAGTGAGAACCAATGTAAAGTGGTGTGTTAGACTGGGTTGTCTAGAGAAACAAAATCAGTGACACACACACAGCCATATATGTCTGTCTCTCTATACTGTATATGAAAGAGCTCTATATCAAGAAGTAATCTTATATTAAGAAGGCATCCCAGCCCAGTCCAAATGAAGTCCATGCTAATCGGAGTCCTCTGCTGACTCCCGTAGCTGCAGACTGATGACAACGAAAGGTGAAGTAGGATGAAGGAAGATCACCAGTCGATGGGGGCAAAGTCATGTGGATCCAAGGTCAATGGAAGCATGACATGGTATCAATAGCTCTCAAGGTCAGAGTCCTAGCAAGTGGGAAGGCAAAAGGCAGAGAGAGAGAAGGTCCAAGTTCTTTATAATAAAGACCTTTATC